AATGGCAATATCTCACGAAAGCCTAGGCCGCCGCCATTTCAAAATCAAGTACGCAGCCACGCCTACCCGATCTCAGGGATTTCGAGTATACTTCTCTGGTGCTCATAGGGATACCAGCATACCCTTATTCAAGGTCTTCCATTGCTGGCGAGCATCTTCCGGGTAGACGTTCTTTGTTTGCTTAATCTTAATAACCAGACATTTTAAAGTGCAACAATAATTGCTGAGGATCATTGAGCCAACCTAATTCTCTTCGGGGCAGCGGTGCATGGCGCAACTTGCTGCATCGCTGACAATCGGCAAGCGAGTTCTCGGCAACGCTTTCTCACCAGATCAGCAATACTACCAGGTTATTCCTACCCCTCTCTTTTGGTTTTTGCGTGTAACTGGTAACGGTACTCATCCAGGGAGGAGGTTAGAGGCACTCCACTATCTGTGAATTCAGCTATTTAAGGCACTGTAGTGGCCTTCAAGCTGTGCTCGCAGCGCTGCAACCTCGAGCACCTCAAAATGTGTAAAAAATCAAAGAACACCCGCAATAAGATAAAAGTGCGGAATTAGCACTAATGCTCCTTAACCCTTTTGTTAGTGGTAAGAGCCAAAAAAGAACGACAAAAAAATCACTAAAGTATTTCGTCTTTTGTTCGCAGTATCTTTCCATATGATAACGGGTAATCCAGGGACTTTGTTAGACTACTCGTCACTTGCACTTTCCTTGTTTACTATTCGGCTTACTGTAGCTGAAATAGGCGCTCTTCCACCAGGTAAAGAATTTTCACTTCCATAACGAATGGCAAAGGAGAGGCAGTATTGTAATTCATGCGAGTAGCCTAAACGAATAAGCCTCTGTTTTTACGGCAATGCTGCTCACAGAAATATTTTGAGAACCTTGGCTGCGCCACCTATCGTCCAATCAGTGGATGCCCACCTCCAAGAGGGCTCATTTATTATGAAAATTAAGGGGATGCCACCATACTCTCTGATGAACACTCGTGTTCACAGATGGAAAGAGAAACCGTAGTCAATGGTCCCTATCAGAAAATCAAGCGTTCACGATGAATTTCCACAAATGAAAACGTGGAGAAAATGGCATTTCCTTACTGGCTTCAGTACATTGTGTGTGCTGCGCCAACGGCTGCCGTCATCCAGCCTGTAAAAGTACATATTTTGCCAAACCATTCCGCCTCTGGAATTATACGCTTTTTTCCCACCGAATCTCAGTCTGTTGGCTACGTGATTGAACCCCCGCAGCGACATTCCATTCTTGAATGCTGACTCTACTTAGGCGCTACCACTTATCCACCGAAGCATTTGTCATATAAAAAGCACAACAAATGATAAACACAAAGTAATTTTTTATTTTGGGCTGATGGAATAAAACTCCGACAACACAGGTGATCCGATACTCGCCCTGTTACCCACAGACGAATCACGTTGTCAATACAACGATAGGGGGGCAACGCACAGCCAACAACAGAAGCTTGTTCTTAACTAATCAAGGCGCTGGACAAGCCTAAATCAAGAGATGAAGATGCTGGACGAGGACGGTCAGCCCGTCTGAGAATTGACACAGACCTTTTACCGGCGAGAAAGGACGCCATCCCACTGTTGAACCACTTCCACCCCTATTAGAGAGGGAGAAGCATGATGCATGAGCATGAAGCAGAATTTCTAGGTCTACCAGCTCTCTCTTCTCTGGGATAAGAGTTGTAGGGTCATATAGTTATGGTGATATGCAGCTCCCCACCAACTGTTAGAATGCTCCATCTCTACGCATAGTCTCTTTCTGAAGTTGCTCCATGTCTACGCATAATTTTCCTTTATAGTTAGGCTGCTTGATAGCACAAGGTACCTAGGAACAGGTAGGAAGAAAAATGGGTGTATCCCCGAGAAGCTCTAGTCGAACTGAAAATATTTCCTGAGACATTTAAACTTTTTTATTTCGAAGAAAGTTCATAGATTTCCCTTTTCTGTGAGAAGAGAGCTGCAATCGTCTATAGTGATAGAGACTTTCAATTTTTCAAGGTCTGCATTTATTTCAGGACAAGCCAGAAATGTGGTGCATTTTTTGGTGGAAGACTGGTGTTTATCTGCATTGCTTGGTGTAATCACTGCTGTGCTTTCTGTTGGAATGGACGTGGCTATCGAATTACTTCAACACGGTAAAGTCCTCTCTTACTGTCTGAATGTCTACCTTAAAGGCACGTTCCGCGATAAACTAAGGCTAGAACCTCATAAACGTGCATGATGATCAAGCAGGCAACAGTAGAGGATATGCTGCTTTTAAAAGTTGAAAAACAGCAAGCAGAACGCACGGCTCATGTTTTAGGCCCATTGGCGCCCGATAGGCCCATGCCGGCCTCCGGTGACCGTGTCGTTGTGAGACTGCCATTGCGCTCTCTCGCCCGTCATTTTCTGGCCTCTCTCGTCTCTTATCAGTGTATCGCCGCCTTTTGCAATCCACAATCGATCTTGACCACCTTACGCTCGTCCGGTGATCATGATCAATTGAAATAAAGAGGGTCTTATTGCGGGCGCTTTTTCGTGGTTCCTTCTCTTCAATAAGTCAACAATCACAGGGCAATTCTATTTTTGAACTGTATTACCTATGAAGTGTGGTCGCGGAAAATCGCCCTTTAATGCGCCCATACTAGAGAAGTGAATGCCAGAGAAAGACTATCTCTAAGCTTGATTCTTCTTTTTCTTCTTCTTCTTCTTCTAGATCTTTAGCGGGATCCGCTCGTCTTATTTTGTCACGCCACTTCCCGCGATTGAATGCTTGTTCGGGATGGGTGCCAACTATCTTTGAGTCCGCATGCAACGTGTCTAACCAGCACTGCTTGGGGCGTCCCTTAGGCCGCTTTCCGGGTACCTCGAACTCAAGACCAGTTCTACAGTCACATACTTCGCGCGAAGAACATGACAGTACCATCAGAGGCTAGCTTCGCGCATTTTCTCGGCCACAGGAGCTACACCAAATCTCTTCCTTATGTCGCCACTGCAGAGGGAGGCTTTTGCATCAGCGCTTCCAAGCTGGACTTATTCAATTCGGAGGTAGGCAATGTATAGGTCGGCCACCAGCACAGAATGACGGCCCTTTACTCAAGCTTCTTGAGGCGCAGCCGAACGTAACCACCAGTAAGTTGGCAACCTCTCTAGGCTCCACCTAACTGACAACTGCCATGCTTCTCTGCATTCTCGGTCCATACGCGTGACACCGGCGGTCCATCGCAACATTTTCATCTCCATGACTCCTAGGCGCGCTTCAACTTCTCTGGTCGTAGGCCAACATTCAGCACCGTATATCGCGACTGGTCGAACGACGGTCCTATAGATCTTCGATTTGAGGCGATCTGGTATCGTCTTGTCGCAGAGAACGCCAGTCATAGACCGCCACTTAGACCAGGCTGCACTCACACGCGCGCTCACTTCTGAGTCAAGACTACCGTCAGACGTAATTGTTGATCCGAGGTATTTGAACGTTGTCGTTCGCGTGAGCACACTGCCGCTGACCTTAAGGGAACCAGACTCGTCCGGGTCAGTCGTCAGGTACTCGGTTTTCTTGACGTTCAATCTGAGCCCGAAGTTTGCTAAGTCCAAGCTTGCACTTGTTCCTCCTTATCCTCGCAGGCAGCGTCACATCGTCAGCGTAGAGGAGCGTCCAAGGACGTGAGATGGCGTCCATGACGACAACGAAGAGGAGCGGGGAGAGCGCAGAGCCTTGGTGAACTCCCACTGTGATGGGGAATTCCATCGAAGTGCCTGCCGGTGTTCGCACTCGACTCGTTGGGCTGAAGTACAGGATGCGTACCCACTCAATCAGCTCTTCGGGAACGCCGTGCTGCCGTAAGGCATACCATATAACTTCACGTGGGACACGGTCGAATGCCTTCTCCAGATCAAGGAAGGCTAGGTGGACATGCTTCTTCTTCTCACGATGTTTCTCCAGCAAGAGGCGAGCGGCATGTATGGCGTCGATGGTGCTACAGCCGGTCACGAAGCCACACTGGTTGGTAGAGAGCTGAACAATATCCTGAATACGGTTCTCTCTAAGCTTGATTGATTGAGCCTAATCCCATTTTGGAGATCAGAAGGCAACTTTCTTCTTACGACAATGTGAACTTCAGGTCTCGGTTATGGAAAAGGCGTCGCTGAACACCTCATTTGATCGTAAACTCACTGATCATCCCTCTATTTCAAAACATCTGTACATCATCCAATCTAATTTTATGATGTGATTTGTTTCTTTCGACTGTTGTTCCGTTGTGGATTCTAATAACTTCGAAAGACTGGAAAATGCGATTTGTGGGGAAAAAAATGGTTCCCTTCTCCTTTCAGGTTTCATTTTGCAGGCAACTGTTCGGTCACTCGTGGAGGGGTCCCTAGGAAAAGAATAGGGTAGAAAAAGGAAAGGATGAAAGGTCCTTCTCATTTAGCGAATTGATAAAGGGTTGCACAAGATCCTCCGCTAGGCCCTAGTTCGTTGAGATAGCGGCTCAAGAGGGCTGTGAAAAGGAGAGTTCTCTCTGTGAGAAACGGAGCATCCTAGAACCGCCTCACAGAGTAGGATTCAATGTCATGTCATGAACCAGTTCTAGATTAGCTTTTTTCACAGCCGAAATTCCAAGTTAGGGAATGCTGCAGAAGGTTCAGAGGGTCCACTTAACTCTCGATGGAGTTTGTTCTGTCAAAGACAGCATTCTGTGATAGGCTGACAAGCGTAGAAAAAGGCAAGAGTGACGACCCTCGATGATGCGTTCTCGTTTCCTGTAATATGAGAGGGGCGGAGTGCAAATGAGTAATTAGTAATGACTCAGCAGCTGTTACTGCATCCGCCCACTTTATTCGGTCATAACTTATTCCGCGAATGTGCCTTGAACCGCCGGAATTTTCAATCAACTTTCCAAACCAAAGCGAACTTTATATTTGACGCTTTCAGCTCACGTCGTTTTTTATGAGTCGTCAAATATCTGAGTCACTTGGCCTTTTTCTCATGGGTGATGCATGTGGTTATTTTGACAGCTCTTTCGGCTGTTTTTTGTCAAATCGTCTCTAAGCAAGCAGTTGGTGAGCTTTTTTGTGATCTGTTATGAAATGTCCATGTATGTCCCCTTACAACTCGTTCATAACGATTTCAGGATCTGGAATTCCTGAAGTGAAAGTGATCATGCATGGCTTCAAAATGGACAATTATCTCACGTTCCGCACATTGATAGCTAAAATGGTCGGCTTGACGTTAGCCATGGGCGGAGGGCTGCCAATAGGAAAGGAGGTTGTTCCCACATCTTCAATAGGACTCAGAGTGGTTTCTTTTTTCATTTTTGTTCATTTTCACCATTTATTCTAGGGCCCATTCGTGCACATGGGAGCAATTGTGGCGACGTTGCTGTCGAAGATCACTGCTTCGTGCCAGTACTCGGCGTTCTTCTCGAATGAGGGTCGTGAAATAGAGATGCTGAGCAGCGGCTGTGCAGTTGGAATCGCCTGCACATTCTCAGCTCCAATCGGAGGTGAGGGAAGCTCCTCACAAGTGGCGTATTTAGGGAGTACGTGAGAGACGAAATCCTTTCCGTAAACAAGAAGCGCATGTCGTTACCACTCATAGTCAGTAGGAAATGAATGGCCAAGCCAGCTACTGAATGACCATACTACTGCTTCGTGGCACTACAGCCAGTTTTCTCGCTCTTGTGTTTGCGCTGTATGACTGTTGCCTGACTTTTTCTAGTCTGAGTGTCTCTGCGTCTCTATCCAACTCGTTTGTGTTCGTACAATGGCTAAAAAAACGAGACCTTGGGCGCTTTCAGCGGTTTCTTCTGCGCTCTTCTTCACAATCAACCTAACCAGTTCTTGGATATTCACATCTGGGTACCACTATAATAGAGTTGAGTCGCGGGAGTTACACTCCATATCACGGTGAGAGTGCGCGTTTTATTGGACGTGGCGGCTGCTAATTAACGGGCTACCCACTTGACACAGACACGATGCTATCCTGTCTTGGAGACGGTAAAGAGGATCGTAATTCGCCGCACCGCCACGCGCGGCGATGGGCGCGGCGTTTTCATAACTCGTTTTAACCTGTCGAATGGAGCACCGGACTTCATGTAGACCCCGTCATCGTAGACAGTCATTACTGTTTTCGGTCCTTAATTGCATTTTGTCGCCATCTACTACCTGGAACCATCGTCCTTTGCAGACTAGACGTCGCACGCGACGCCCAGCAGCGCGGCGAATTACGATCCTCTTGTCACATACCCCCCTGTCTTGAGCTACGAAACATGATTACAGTAGTGCCCCATCAATAACGCAACCGCCCACACTTGAATGCACGCAGCCACGCCCTCCCCACTTCCGAGATATGGAATACACATACTCGCGCTTCCTGCAGCGCACTTTCTATTATACTCTGCACCTCACGGTGAGAGGGGTCATAATTTCGGGCACAGTGTCACGCGAGACAGCGGTCTCGAGAAACTTCTGCTTTTTCTTAGCATTATACGACTTCATCTAAATTCACTTTCATTAGTTGAGCGTCATTAGGTTTCAAATGCCAATAATGAATAGTTTCTTCGGCGGTAACTACCACTTTTCAAAGCGAGTGCCACGCACGCCACTAACCATAAGTACGCAGTTACGATCCATCTATCTCCTGGATACAAAGTGTAGGTCATCTCATTCAAACTTGTGGAGACATATAGGCGAATGTCAGGAAGCAGAGGACCTAGTTCTGTGGTCTCCTATAGCACTCGAAAGCTAATGCATCTACCTACACATTGAATATTGGCCGACATAGCCACAGAGGAAAATTTCGAGAAACTGGAAAGCAACGTGGGTTGTCAAAATCAGCGCCGTGATCTCAAATCGGGTGTCATGCAAGAAAAGCCTGCTCTATCCAGCGCCATACAAGTATTAGAGAGCCATCGTTGTTCATCGCAATGTCTGGCCCTATCTGACCTTATTATTGAGCAGTGTTCCGGCTGAAACAATACTACCAATGAGACTTGGATTCAGTCACCTCATTCGCCCAACCCACGGCCATGCACTTTCACCTGTTCTGGTCAGTTGAAGGTTCAGCCAATGTTGAAAGCTACGACGTTTTGTCATTCGCTGAAATCGGCATCCAGCAGTTTACTCACCTTGTTGAAGAAACGAGGATACTACCGGTAAGCGCTCGGCTAAGCAGGCACTGGAGCCGGTCATCCATAAAAGCAAGGTACTAACATAGAGTCGAAACATTACTTTTCTATCTTTTTTTTCTTGTTCGTTTTATTTGAATAAAGCCGTCAATTTTTTTGAACGAGATGACGATTATTGCAAGAGTGAATAACAATCAAAGGGAACTTTCCACCCTCCACTGCCCCATTATTTCGGATTCGGGCCATTTTATATCAACTTTCTTGTCCGAGGGCAGATTCAGCTAAAACGTCGTCAGAATGTAAAACCACCCTTTGGGAACAATTTTTCAGCCAAACCTTCCCTCGGAGAAATCAATCGGTAGAAAAACTGGAATGATTTTGGAACGGAGCAGTAGTGGGTAAACAGTGCCTAATAAGCAGATAATGATGAGAGGGTAATCAAATGTAGGAAAGTTTTTTTCATTGTGAAAAGCTTTGTGCCGTGATAAGTAACTTTGTAATGATCAGGAAGGTTCATTCCGCATGCGGAATCAGTTTTTGAACTATGGTATTCCTTGTTGTAGGTCATATGCAACGAGTACTACGTTATTCCTCTTTCTCTTAGAAACTGATACCATGGTTTGCTACTCGGAGTATGTTTTATTACGGTGAATAAGCTGAGAGCGCATTCCTCTGGAAACGCGCAGAAGGTGCTTGCTCAGGGTGAAAACGAACAGAGGGTGCTCTTGCTTGGGCATAGTCCCTTCTCAGAAGAACCTGAAATAATCCATCAATATGAGGTTTAAAGGCACATTCCGCGATAAAATAAGGCTATGACCTCTCAAATGTGTCGGACGATCCGGAAGGCGATTTTTGAGGCTGCGCTACTTTCAAAATGTGAAAAACGGCAAGAACTCCGCTAGAAGCTGACTAATTAGGCCCATGGACACCCCTTAGGCCCATGCCGACCCTCACCGGCTGCTAGCTACTAGCTAGTAGCCACTATGTTATCTTTCTCTATAACATTTCGGACTGCTTTTTCTGCTGCTTTTCTCCGCTAATCAGATACTTAGCACTTTTTTGCCTATTTGAGTTCCGTTTCCCGCAATTTGCGGTCGCGAACTGTGCCTTTAAAGGCACATTCCGCGAAAAAATAAGGCTATGACCTCTCAAATGTGTCGGACGATCCGGAAGGCGATTTTTGAGGCTGCGCTACTTTCAAAATGTGAAAAACGACAAGAACTAAGCTAGAAGCTGACTAATTAGGCCCATGGACACCCCTTAGGCCCATGCCGACCCTCACCGGCTGCTAGCTACTAGCTAGTAGCCACTATGTTATCTTTCTCTATAACATTTCGGACTGCTTTTTCTGCTGCTTTTCTCCGCTAATCAGATACTTAGCACTTTTTTGTGCCTATTTGAGTTCCGTTTCCCGCAATTTGCGGTCGCGAACTGTGCCTTTAAGGGCAGGACATTAAGAGTTTTATTCGGCCTCAGACGGGATCAACGTACTTGAGCAGCTTACATCGACTGGTCCTTCTAACGGTTCGACCATGGGTTCTTTTATATCAAGACGAGACCGTGCTCGGTTTAGTCAGTAAATCACTTACGCCTAAAAAACTTTATTGTTCAAAATAGCTCTGGTTTCAGCTGTACTGTACGCTATTGAATCGACATCAAAGTACTTCGCCGTGAAGAATTACTGGCGAGGTTTTTTGGCCGCTACTTGCTCGGCGATCATCTTTCGATTCGCTAATTTCTTTCGTCACTGCAGAACAGTCCGGTGGGTCATTTTTTCCACATTTCACGAAGGTTCGTATTTCACTGCCAATCAATTCACCAACGAGAGTTTCTGCAACAAAGAGATTGCGCAGTGATTCCCTTGGATCACTAGCATTCGAGGAGACATTGACTTCTGGTGATGGGGTGTGTTTATTAGGTTCCTTGTTAGAACCTTGCAGATTATTTAGCCCTGCTGATTCTGAAAGTTCGTCGGAAGGTGCCGCCCTCTCCCCCCCCCCTCCCCCCCCCCCGTTTGGACTCCAGAAATTTCGGCTCCGAGCTCATTTTAAAAGTGGCAAGATCACCAAATCCGCTAAAACTTGTATATAGGGGTAATTCAACATCCTGATCACGAATATGACATTCATTTTTGCGCGCTAATGGATGACACTACGGTTACCTGCGCTCTGCTAAGGCTGAGCCCAGGAGGTAATCGTAGTGTCCTCTCTTGGCGCCAGCGCCAAGAATGAGTGTCATACTCGTAATCAGGATGTTGAATTACCCCTATATACAAGTTTTTAGTGGATTTGGTGACTTAGGCAATTTGAAAATGAGCTCGAAGACGGGAATTGC